CATTCAATATGAAGCCTTAGCTGGAGAAAAAAGACAAAAGAAGAAAATAAAAGGTATACAAATGAGAAAAGACAATATCAATGTGTCCTTACTTGCAGATGGCATGATTCTTTAAATGAAGAACATTAAAGATGGCACCAAGAAACTCTTACTGATAAACACTTTCACAAAGTAGTAGGTGGCAAAACTAACACACGAAAGTCAATAGCCTTCCTACTAATAATAAACAGACTAAAAACATAAATCAAGGAAATAGGTACACACACACACACACACACACACACACACACACACACACACACACACACCCTGGGAATAAACATAACCAAAAGCTCTGTAAGCTCTGTAAAATGAAAAACCTAAGACTGAAAGAAGAAATGGAGAAAGACAATTGGAAAGACGTCAGATGCTCGTTAACTGGAAGAACTAATACTGTAAAAATGATCAACCTATCAAAAGCAATCTTCAGATTCAATGTAATTTCAATAAAAATTCCAAACAATTTTTAGAGAACAAAACAAAAATTTAAATGGAGGCACACACACACAAATAAAAATAGTATAACCAAAGCAATCCTGAACAAAATGAGTGCTATAGGAGGTATCAGTATACCTGATTACAAATTATACAGCAGAGATGTAGTAATGTAAATAGCATGGAACTGACACAAAATAGATATATAGATCAATGGAATAGAGTGGAGACCCCACACAACGAGGTACTTGATTTCTGACAAAGATGCCAAAAATATACACTGGGGAAAAAGACAGCATTTTCATCAAATGGTGTTTGGACAACTATATTTCAACTGGATCTTTATCTCTGATTGTGCACAAAACTCAACTCCAAGTGGATCAAGACCTAGCATAAGACCTGACACCCTGCATTTTCTAGAGATAAAAGCAGAAACATGCTTTAATTTATAGGCACGAGTGCAAACTTTACAGTAGTACAGGACATAAGGGTGACAGCCAACAAATTGGATCTTACGAGGTTAGAAATCTTTGTATCACAAAGAAAAATGGAGAAAAATAATAGCCCACAGAAGGGGAGAAAAATCTTTGCCAACTACTCCTCTGACAGATGACAGAGTTTCTTTAACACACAAAGAACTCGAAAATTAAACATTAAGAAAACCAAGAGCCCAATTAAGAAGTATCCTAAGGAACTGAAGAGAAAATTTTCTAAAGATATGCAAATGCATAGGAAACACTTTAAAATGTGATCAGCATCCTTAGTGTCCTGTAAATGAAAACAGCTTGAAAGTTCTACCTCATCCAGTCAGAGCAGCTGTCATCGGGAACACAAATGACAGCAGATGCTGGCATGAGTAGCAAACAGGAAACAAGCTCTGACACACTGCCCCCTGTATACTACTGCGGAAATTAGGCTGGAAATTTCTCAGAGACTGAAACCAAAACTGCCCCACGGCCCAGCCAGACCTCTCCCATGCATATGCCCAAAGGACTTCATATCCTGCTATACAGACACCTGCCCATCCACGCTCATTGCTGCTCCATTCACAACAGCTAGAAACGGGACTCAACCAATATCCATCAACAGATGAATGGACAGGAAGAATACGGCCCACATACACAATGGTATGTACCAAGCTCTAAAGAAAAATGAAATAATAAAATTTACTCTTGAAAAAAGTTATAAAAGCTACTGCAAGCCTAAAAGCAAGTGACACATTCTCTCTTATGCTTCAAATCTCATTTTATATGTGTAACTTGGAGCACTGCTCTTCCTGAAGAACTCACTGTAATTGTCATGGCTATAGTCAAAGTTCACATCTTGACTTTGTATGGAGGGACCCTCACTAGAGAAACCATGCTGGTCTCTTGTTCCAACTTAACATTTATTTCTTTAATTAACTAGGCCTAAACTGAGGAATATGGCTGCCACCGCTCAGTAGAAGAGACACGCCAACTGGCCTCATTGTGCTGGCTTCTGGTCAGGTAGGAAAGGAGATGGTCACTGTACGTAGCTGGTCTGAAACTGAGTGCTGGCAGCTAAGGACTTTAATGATCTTGAGACCCGACTTACTGGTTGACTCTAACTCAGATGAATCCTCTAGTCCACTGTGAAGGAGGTCTTTGCCTTTATGGTGAAAACCCAATAAAAGGCATATCAGAAAGCTCACTTAGTCAAGGGAGCATCAGAAAGCTCACTTAGTCAAGGGAGCATCAGAAAGCTCACTTAGTCAAGGGAGCATCAGAAAGCTCACTTAGTCAAGGGAGCATCAGAAAGCTCACTTAGTCAAGGGAGCATCAGGCTCCAAGCAGTTTCTCATTTGGGAAACTGGCACTCAATTTTGATGCCTCAAGTTCTTGTGTGTCATTCAGAGGACATGGAATCTAGGTAAGGAAAACAGTGACACAATGGTACCCTTTCTTAAAATGATTAACTTCAATAAAATAAACTCTACAGCTTGTGCTGGAAGGCTCATGAAAGATGGAATCTTCTGTTTCACAATCATTTCCCCAGTGTTACCCATGTTGCTGTCAGTAAATATTTGAAGAATGAATAAATGTGTTTTTTGATCATTATTCTTAGGGTAGTCCCTTGGCATTTGTGCTTACTAACAATTGGTTTGAATTGGGATTCTCATTTAACAGGTATAACAGGTAGCCAGGACAAGAGGCACACTCTGGTTCATTCTTCTTAGTACTTTAACCCAGCATTTCCTGTTCCCAAGTTGAGTTCAAATACCTACTTAAGTCAACCTGTACTTTTCATTATTGCTTTCCTTTCTCATTCATCACAGTTCATGAGAGGCAGCGGGAGGGAGGCAGAAGTTAGTTATATGGGGGTCTATTAATAATCCTATGGTAGAAAATTAATGTTTTATTGAAAGAAAGTATGTATTAAAAATAAAGAGAATAATAGTATTTAGAGTTGGGTTTGTCTTCTAAATAGTACCCAGAAACTTACAATTAGTCTCCTAAATAAAAGTAGCTCTGTGCCTCCTCCCAAAGGACTCCATTAACTGAGAATGGAACATTATCTTCCTGCTCCCCACCCAGAGGAATAATGTTAAGTGCAGGACATTTGTGGACCTTCAGTGTGGGACCCCAGTAGTGACCTTGTCTGTACATGAATCTTTGTGTAAGCATAGTTCAGTAGGTCATTGTCTTCATAGGTGACTCGGGCCAAGCACATGGTATGCTTTTGAGCAGTACTTGAGAACCATTTTCAATGGGAAAGATAATCAAATTCTAGAAGGTGAATGATAGCCCATTGGTCATGATGATTATCTGTCTTGTTCCTCCTGTAGCATCAGCCTTGGCTCCAGGAATCCCATTTGGTCAGCTGAAACCTCAGATTCTGAGTGTGAAGCTGTGGCTAAACTCTCACCTAGGGCTAGTGATGCACCTCACTGTGTAATTTTCCTTTTCCATTGGCAAGGAGATAGCAGTGTCTTTAATATAACCCACTTTCTATCTTCAGGCATATTTAGTCAATTGATATCCATAATTGTCAATTTGTTGTCAATCAATTGCCAGTTTGACAAAGTCTAGACTCACCTGGGAGACGACCTCTAAGCAGGCCTGTGAGGGGGTTTCTTGATTGCACTAATTGAGGTGAGACAACCTGTCTTCTGAGGTATGAAAGGAAGAAAATAAGAAATCTAGCATGTGTCTATTTCTTTCTTTCTTTGGAGTGGGATATTAATGTAAACAGCTGCTTCAAACTCCTAATGTCTTGATTTCCCACCATGGCGAACTGTACCTTAAACTGTCATTTGAAGGAAACCCCCATGTGGTGGTTTGAATGAAAATGGCTCCCATAGGCTCATAGGGAGTGGCACTATTAGTGGGTGTGGCCCGTTGAAGTTGGTGTGGCCTTGTTGGAGGAAGTGTGTCACTAGGAATGGGCTTTGAGGTCTCAGATGTTCAAGCCATGCCCAGTGTCCTATTCTCTCCCTGCTGTGTGTCAATCCAGATGTAGAACTCCTAGCTACCTCTCCAGCACCATGTCTGCCTATGGGCTGTCACGCTTTCCTCCATTGACCATAATGAACTAAACCTCTGAACTGCAAGCTGACCCCAATTAAGTATTTTCCTTTATTGTGGGGGCTGGAGAGATGGTTCAAAGATTAAGAGCACTGGCTGCTCTTCCAGAAGCCCTGAGTTCAATTCCCAGCAACCACATGGTGGCTCCCAACCATCTATAATGAGATCTGATGTCCTCTTCTGTTGTACAGGCAGAACACTCATATATAGTAAATAATAAAATTGAAAAAGAGAGAGCTGCTGTGTTCGCCATGTCTCTTCACAGCAATAGAAAATCCTAACTAAGATACTCCTTTAAGTTGCTTTTGTCAGAGTACTTTACCACAGCAACAGAAAAAGAAGCCAAGACAAGATCAAAGTATGAAAGCATGGTTATAAAACAGTCAGGGCTTCTACATGACTGGCATGTGTATATTAGACCACGTTAGAAATAACTACTGAGCAACCTATGGAAACATTACAAATGACAACTCAAGTGAAAAAAACTGGTTTTAAGACAACGTGGAGAGAGTGGACAGAGATAGGGTTCAAGTCATGGTCATGAGCTACTTAGAATACGGCATTGATTATGACTGGGAAGTTTCCACTTTCTCTGGAACTCTGAGCATCTTCTTTTGTAGATTAAGACTCTGTCATCATTATGTCTGCTTAAGTGTATGCAATTTTAATCAAACCTCAAGGAGTTCTCTTTTCTCCCTTCCCAACAGGATGCTGTCAACTATAAATATGCCTTTAAATTATATGTTAGGGACTATATACTAGCAAGTATTTATTCTGAAAATGCCTCATACCGAGGTCTCTGTGACAGATTGTAAGGATCTGCGAGACCAAGTGGCACTGAGGTGCTGCAGCTGTATATAGAGGGATGAGAAGGCTACGAGGATGAAAAGGAAATAAAGAGGGAAGGGGATGAAGGGAGCAGAGTTTCAAGAGCATCCCTGCCTCTGTAAATAGTCTGAAAGTAGATGCTTCATGTTGCACTGTGATCCAGATTCTCTTTTCCACTTCCATATTCCTAGGAAGACTGTTTTTCCTCTGCAAACGTACTCTACTTGTCTTTCTAGGTGGTGCTGAGCAAGACAGACACTCAGATCCTTAGGATAAAGGTGAGTTTTTTTTAAGTTCTTATCAGCCCCCATGCTTGATCTGTTCGTCTGTACTTACTCTTTTTCTCTCCCCCCTCTCTTTATCGCAATTCTTTACATTTTCATGTGCTGGATATTTCATTGCTTCTTACAGAGAATTCGGTGAATAATATGTCATAATGGACAGTAGGATACAGGGAAGGTGCTTCTAGCATGGGTCTGAGGTGTGGAAGCTCAAGCAATCTTGACTTCACTCTGAAACAAACTGGAAAATAGGCCGTCAGAGTCTCCCTTCTTGATCCTCTGCCACCATCATACCACAACTTGTGTGTATGGATTATCTATCACTCCCTGACCCAGGTGGGGAGCTCGGCTGTTTTAGACAACAAAATGAGAAGTCACTCTGATACCCTGGAGCCTTGCTTTCATAGTTTTGCTGCAGGACATTAGACTTGATTTAATTTGAAAATAATATAGTAAGATGAAAGGAAATCCCAGTTGAGCTACTCGTTTTTTAAAAGAGTTTGAAAAATAGATAAAAATGAGCCCGGGACCTAAACCTCAAAGAAGACCCTCGGAAGGATGGAGGCAGAGGAGGCCAGATGTTTTTCTCATCTGTGTCATCTCTCCTCTGGCGTGGGACAAAGGGAGGGAGAAGAGCGCAGCAGACAGAAGGCAAGCCAATTTGTTGATGCTGCCCTCTCATTTAGCTCATGGAAATTTCATAGCATCTAAGGTCTAACTTTCCCCCTGGATTTGAGGGGAAACCACCTATAACCCACTTGAACTAGTTTCATGGAAGGAATTTTGTTACTGTGCAAAATTTCACCCAAGATTAATTGAACTTGACATCCTGAATGTCTTTCGCATGATGTACTAAGGTAGTGTTTTTGAAAAATGTCAGTATCCGATACTTAGTGTGTGGTTTTTAGATGTCCAAAGTATTCCCTCTTCTCAAATTGCTTTTAAGAAGCTGGGATGCAATACATAGCTTGATTTTCTTTATTTGAGATGAATCCCCACCTTGCTATAGCAGTACTGAATATTCTCCCAATCAACAATTCATCACGATAGGAAAAAAGATACTGAATGATATCCAGAGCACCTGGCTTGGTTTCAACACTAACCTTTCTATAATTTACGGGAAATTAGAATCACAGGCCAGCTTTACATTGAATGGAAAGTGTGCGCTACCATCTTGTGGATGAATCATAAATAACACTGAAGGACTCCGCTCACCATCTATACTGCCACTACCCTGTCTAGGTTTCTATACATTCTGGATGGCCTGGCCATGTGAGTTGGAACTTTGTCAACAACTGGGTGCATTTAAGCGAGCTCACCGAGGGAATTTTGGAACATAAATAACAGAAACCTGTTTCCTCAGTTCCATCTTGTCTCTGTCCCCCTCTGTTTTATGATTTCTTTTTTTATTGCAAAACCAAATTATGGGTTCTGGCCTCTGGTGTTGGGCACATAGTTTGCTAAGGGTCTATCAATGGCAGGGTTAGGATTGCACAGCATGCAACGAAGTTTTGTGCCAAGAGAAATTTAAACCCCCTGTCTCTCTCTCTTTCTCTCTCTCTCTCTCTCTCTCTCTCTCTCTCTCTCTCTCTCTCTCTCTCTCTCTCTCTCTCTCTCTCACACACACACACACACATACATGCACGCACATGCGCACAGTACTTTCTAGGTACTAAGGGAATGATCTTTGAGAATGTGGAAGCATGAATGTTGTTATCACGGTTATATAAAACTTAGAATCATAGCCTCTGAGAGCAGGCAAGGACATTCACATATGTTCAATCCAATCACTCCTCTAGTGCTTGAACCACTTTTAAAACATCCAGAAAGTCTATAAATATTTAATGTCTAATGTGTAAGCAAATAACAGTAATGGTAGCCGTGTCAAAGACAGAGAAACAGGAGATTTCTAATGCAAATGCCCATGGATATGTATTTTTGGTTGAAGTATATTTTTGCTGTGACCAAAAGATGTAACTGGTCTTGCATAACTTTCTTAGCTATAGAAACGAATGAGGAGTTTTATTTGTTCATGTTTTGTGTTGATGGAGATCAAAACCAGGAACACATGTCTCCTAGCTGAGAGCTCTACCATATGGTTATCTCCAGCTCTGTTTCAAAGATTATAGGGCCATTCCCTTTTAGTATACACACACACACACACACACACACACACACACACACACACACACACACACACATACACACACACATTTCAACATTGTACATACAACAGAAAGCGATTCCCAAAGAACTGGATTCCTTTCACTGCCCTATCTATCATGAAGAACTGAAGCTTTGCAAACAGAGGAAGTCCTAAAGCGATGATAGTTATAACAAAGACAACACAAGCAACACTAAAACAGGCATTTGTTCCTGATGCAGATACTGGAAAGAGAGGGAGAAGACATGAACTTTGAACTTTGTCTACCATACTGGATGATTATTCCTAGCTTCTCTTGGTTCTGTTCTCTTTTAGCTTCTTAAACTTCTTCCTAATGAATCTTTCGAACGTTTTATCATGTTTTGTGGCCAAAAGAATGTGGTCTGTGAAGCTCTACTCTAAGATATGCTCTGCTCTACTCTAAGATATGAGGAATCTTCCAAAGAAGAGATGGATACAAATTCCGCTTTAATTCACATTAAAATAACCAGCGCTAAAGCACATTGGAATCAGTTAGCAAATCAAAACCTTCCATATCAGATGGGGAAAAAGACCTTTCTCTAGCCCCTGTTTCCCAGGATTGGACATGGTATTTCCAATTTCCATACCTTTTTATATGAATGATATATTTTTGGGTGCTGGTGTCGCTGCTTTAATTATAATGTTATTTAGATCTGAAGAAGTCTTTGCAACAACCTTAAAGTTTTAGGATAAGTCAAGATTATTTTCATCTCCTTAAGAACTTATCTCCAAACTCAACAGCTTCACATGCAGAATATTTATATGCAGCACTTTTCTTTTACTCAGGGCCTTGCTAGATGAGTACTCTAACCCTGGGCTGTACCTCCAGTCCTTCACATCAGCTTTTGAAGTGTGTCTTTGTTCTTTATTTTAAAATCATGTGTAATAAACACAATATACTATGAAAATAAAAGAACTACATAAATCCTGATAGTCACTAAAAATTAAAATGAATGGTAATATTTACATAACACCTATCATACATCAGATGATCTGTCAAGGTTTTCCATAGCTTGTCTCCAAATTTTACAGGAGCCTAATCATCACCATTTGGGGTTTGATGGTTGCACATGACTCATTCATGTCACACAGTTAGAAGTGACAAATTTGGACTCAAATGTGTGTCCTGTTTTATGTCATGTATAGTGTGTTCTTAAAGACCGAGTATATCCTTGATGAGAGGATAGTAAATTGCATAAAGCAAACTACTCAGCTAGCAACTGCCTCATAAGGATTCTGGTGAGGTCATATAACTTGGGAGACTAGTCTCTTGGTTTCTTCCAAGATTAGAACTTGGGAGAAAACTCAAAGTTGGTGACAGAGAGAGAGAAATAGATGGCTGACTACAGATATGAGAAGGAGGGAGGCCTTCAAGAGATGAGGTAGGAAGAATGGAATACAAACCTTGAGCCTAGAGAATGCCCATGGTGGATAGAATAAAGAAATGAGCCTCTGATCCATCACCAAGCTGAGATTAAAAAACCCCTCTCCTGGAGATCAGAACCCTGAAGTCCAGGCAGATGAGTAACCAGTGCAAGGTCACGGACAAATAAGCAAACTCCTGGGACCATAAAACTGGGTCTGTGCCTGACACCCAATCCCTCTTTGTCTATACCTTATAGTACAATCCTTCGGCTTTTCTAAACTCATCATTTCCTTTCCATCAGGTAAAAGCAACCAAATTCTAGCACAGCCTACATTTCCACCACTGTTGCTCTTCGAGCTTTTTTGTTCCCTAATCAAATAACTCTGTAGGAAGCTTGTTGTACATGGAGGGCAGGAAAGCAGACAGTGGAGTTCAGTACTTGTTTTTTCATCTAATAACCACACTCAACTGAACTGATGTCATAGGCAAATTACTAAAGCAAATTACTTATCCCTGAAGAAATGCATGAGGCCCATTGTTTCAGTCCATTAATGATCAGAAGCCTCATAAACTCAGGTCTGCCAAAGCCAAAAGCAGGTGTGTGTAATTGGGAAAAGGCTGCAAACAATCCTGGATAATAGATTACACTTACATGATTCCTTTGTCCTTCCAACTCTAGAGCTAACATTGCATTTCACAGGGAAGTCATGAAGAGGCAAATGCTGAGAGGATTTCTTTACTTATTATACACTAGAATGAGTCCTCTAAGATTAGTGATATTGGTTGTGTACTTAGATTCCACTCCATGAAGGGTGTGGTGTGGAAAGGTAACTATAGCTATCTGCTTCCCTTGTGATCCAGAAGACCCTCCTTTCTGACTGTTTTCAATGAGAAAGCTGGCAGGAAGAGCTTGGCCAAACGTCGTCTATTCAGCTACTCTGAGAATTTTCTCAATTTGCTTATACTAAAGCAGCCTCCCTTGGTTCCTTGGATAGCTTGTTATCTTCTCTGACACGTATTAGCTCTCCCTCCTTAGAAGACTTATTGTTCACCAAAATAATACTTAAATGAATCTCCCCCGTTTACAAAGTGCTTTTTCTTTAATACATAAAGATACATACGTGTTTTCTTTCACACATATGTGCATGTACACACACACACACACACACACACACAATTAAACACATGGAGGCATCTTAAATATCCTGAAAACAGCCGATTAATTCCTCCAGGGAGTCCACAGCTTCCATCAGCCATTGAGCCAGAAATGCATTCTTCCTTCGTGCCTGGATGAGTCTTCAAGATGTTAGCTGATGCCACCACTACTGGTGCATAAAATTTGGTCATTAAGTGCTCATCCGTAAAGACATTGTAGTGCAGGCTTCATACTTTTCAACCCAAATCTCCCAGCCTCAGAGGTGGGAGAATAGAGGTACCAAGACAGTTCACCCTCCTACAAGAGAGGTTCCACCCCACATCCTTCACACATAACCACTATTTATTTACCTCACCTCCAAAGAAAAATGCCTTGCAATATAGAGCCCCAAACTACCAGCTTACCAGCTTCCCATGTGCTGTACTATGAGATCTGGGGGAATATGTCCCCAAGAAATACGTTCCCAAAGGTTGTTGAAATATATAGTTGTTTCACACTTCTTATGATGCATTGAGAACTCCAAAGCTAGTTCCTTAGCTACTCTACTTGGGCATTGGATAGCTAGACTACAGGGCAGTGCCTCTTTATGGAAAGTCATCCCATAATTAGAACCAAGAATCATTTCCAGGTGTCAAGAAGTTTTTTCAATGTGATTTTTCATCCTTTATCTTAGAGCCCGTATATCTTCTGAAAAGATGAGCTCTGCAGAGGCAAGAACCTTGTCTGTCCTGTTCATTCTTGGGTTTGCACATCCCACACATGCCCAGGTCAATGCTTGCTGGAGAAATTGACAAAGAACCAGAGATGATCATATCTGGAGATTTCCTTCTCTGGAATATCAGAGCTGCAAGGTGAGTATCTCTGAAAAATGGGATACATTTTTCAACTCTCCTGGCTTACCCTTGCTTAGGCTCTAGAAATTTATTTAATCCTCTAACTCTGAGAAACTTTTAGTGCTAACATTGATCAGAACTTTTGTGAAGAATAAAAGTAATGCATTTTTGTTTAGAAATATGATGTGCCCTCACTGGATTTTCCTGCATTCTTCATAATAAAACTTTGCAAAGAAACACTTGTGTGTGAAACAGGGGCTATTTAAATAGCACTTTTATCATTTATAATTGAGCACATGGAATGAGATAATGTTAAATAAATGTCTGGCATAAACTAAGAACTTGGAAAGTAAGTTATCCCATTTTCTAATATGTTTACCACTTTCACTCTTAGAATCACAATTCTTACAGATTCTTCAACTCTGGATAGAATTCTTTCATTTCCTTCAACTTTTTGTGTACTTACTTTCTCCTTCTAGATTGTAAGTTCCTTAAGTTAAGAATCATGTTTCCAGCACAATGTCCTCCAAAGTCTGTGGTTGTGACAGCATTTTCAGCCTGAGTTATGTGCCAGTAGCCATGAAATGTAAAGTGCCATTGATGGGCAGGCAGATTCTGTAGCATGTACCTCCTCAATCTTCATGGTGTTCCCATGTGTCAGGGAGCATTAGCACCACACTACAAATGAGTTCTGATGCTGTGGAAATTAAGAAACAGGCACTCACCTGGGACTGAAAGGACAGACTGTTTCCAAAGCTCATGACCTTCCTTCACAGGCTAAGTTCTAGAATTCTCTAGAACTTCTGGAACAGCTACCACATCACACATAATAAAACAGTGCTCCTCCAGTTTTAATGAGGACATGGGCGACCTGGTGGTTGTAAGAAATGGCAGTTGCTGGTTCTGTAAGTCTGGGCTGGCCCAAGGCCCTGCATTTCCAGCCAGTCTTCAGGTAGGGCTGATAGTGCTGGTCAGAGTGTTTTGGTTTGCTTCCCCTTACATCATCCACCACCACCACCACGGGTGGTGCATTCCCACCATCCCATTGCTATGAGTTGCATAGAACTGAGTAGTGGCTTTAAAGGTCCTGGCTACCCCAGATCATTATCTCTGTCTTGTTCCTTCCCTTTGTCTCACAGTCTCTCTGTCTCTCTGTCTCTCTGCCTCTCTCTCTCTCTCATGTCCCCACTCCAAGATGGCCTTTCACCCCCTCCCAGTAAGCCTCTTGCATTAGGTCTATTGCATGGAGTGATCCCTCAGCAGCAAACCTTGGAAGGGCCAGGCCACAGGTTCCTTTTCAACTGCTTTACCCTAATACAGAGTTCATGAACTGGGGGCCATGCCTGTCAACAGTTAACGTATAAGATGTACAAGGTCCCTAGAATCTATGTCTTCTAAAATTATTGGAGTGGGATGGGTAGTAAGGAAGTGGTAGTAGCTTAGGTCTTGTTTATCAAATTCTCTCAAAACATACACATAGATATGTGTTTGCCCTCTCTTCCACAATGTGTCTTTTTGTGTCTGTCTCTGTCTCCTTTTCTCTTTTTGTCTGTCTGTATCTCCCCCACACACACACACTCACACACACACACACATACACACAATGTGAAGCAAGAAGAAAAGGCACAGGTATTTCCACACTGGGACTGTTTCTCACCTCTGCCATATGACTGTGACTGGAACTCTTTCCCAACCATAATGTGTAAAAAGAATGTTTGGCAAATGGGTAATGACCTTGCTTCTTCCCAAACTACATATTCTATATAGATCTTGATCCATATCCACCTTTCCTATCGGAAAGACACTTAAGCATCACTCAACTCTGTCAGGTGACATTATTCTTGACTTGAAGGAACAGTCAAGACTCACTGACTCTGAAAACCTTCCCTAACCATTGAGCTCCAGGGATATTTCTCAATAACACATGATCAGTTCTGTGACAGACATAGTGAGCTGGTAACTAAGGTCCACCATCCATCTCTCTACCACCCCACCCTGAGAATGTATACATGCCTATTTGCTCTACTTTTTGTGACCAACCTTGCAAAATGCTTGTGCTATGGTTCCCCAAGCATGAGGTCTGGGTTCTCTTGATTACCCTGTTGGCACTTGGTCTTGGCTTCTTTTCAAGCCAAAGGCTTGGGTGGTCTTTAAGAAACCTGAGAAGGCCATTAGCAAAGTATCATCTCCCCAAAGTGACCTTTTGTGGAGCCTCAAAGGAAAACCTGCCACCCCGACACCCAGCCTTGTTGTCTTCAGGTTGTTCTTTGGTAGGAAGCTGGAAGAGTTTGAAGTGATGCAGATGAAAATGCTAATGGCCAAACAAGCCTAAGAGAATACCCCCAAAATGAATGCCTTATGTTGATAAATCAACCAATAAATACCTAAGAAAGGCCTAGTGTGCCTGTAAATAACTGTAGCAAAGTCAAATCAGTAGAGTTATCTATGTGATTTATGTTATTACTTTTAAGAAACCTATTCTTACACATCAAGTTTTAAAAGTAGAGCCTAAAACTTCCAGCCTAAAAACATAATATAGTCCACAGATCAGTTTGATTTGGCTTGTAGCGTGTTTTAAAACTCAAACTTCGCATTTAGAGCCATACTTAGGGGTTCTCTTTAAAGACTGAACACTCAGGCAGACTTCTTCTTACATTAGCATTTTCTGTAGTCCCCCCCCCCCGTTCCTATTGCCTTATGTTATGTTGTCTGTGTGACTCATTTAGGAACTTGTGTTTCCTACACTGTCAGGAAAGTATGTGTCTTCACAAACATATGTGACAAAAGGAACTGTACCAGCCCTCAGCTCCAAGGGTGGGATGCACTCGTACTGTCACAGCCTAGTGATGTCATTTCCCACTCCACCACTCAGTGTCTCAGCTGGGACTGACTTCACCACGGTTTCCACCTGATCCAAAGGTGGCCCATCCCAGAGCTTGCCAACGACTTCTGGCCTGGCAATAAAAGTGAGCCAAGCTAACACATTCTTTGCTCAGAATATTGGAATTATAAAATGGAGCCACTGTTTCCAGCCAGTGAGGGAGAAAACCGCAGAGACTGCGAAACACACTTCAGCACCCCAGAGCAAGCCAAATGCCTGTGAAAACTCAGCTATGGAGAAAGCCTAGCGTGGAGGAAGATAGAACACACGCACCAAGAGAACTGGTAGGAAGACACTAGGTTGCCTTGCAAGGCTGAAATCCACTCTATTCTAACTCTGATAAAAACCTGTTGGACTTCATTCCAGGCCTTGGATATTGGTGCATTAAGGGGATCCAGACCTTGTGCCTGGACTTCTTAAAGAAGTAATGCTCCATGTTTCCTTGAGGCAAGCTCTCCCATTCATGATAGAAATGTAATGTGAGAATGAAGCGTTTATTGAGTGTCATCTGTATGTCATCCCCTATGATAGAGCCCAAGAGGGAAACAACGATGTCTAAAATGTTTATTACACCCAAAGAGCTAAAACTGCTTTCAACAGATACTTTACTAGTTATTCCATTCCTCCACTGTGCCCGTGATACAGGCAAAAGAGCGGAGCAAAAGCTTGATAACCTTCTTATGGTGAAGCCAGAAGACAAAGATCCACATACTACTGTAGCATAACAAGGACCCGAAATTAACAGCATATGCCACTCCTTAGAGTCCTGGGGAGAAAACTGAGTCTTCTTACTGGGAATAGGGGGGTGATTAATAAACCGGGGTCTTAACAAATGAGAAGGGACAACAATAGAGAGAAGTTTGCATGTAGCCTCTGCCAAAGGAGCATTGTTGGTGTGCATGAAGGAACAGGAAAGGGATAAAAGGGGACAATGACAACAGTTCCCTCCACAGACTCTAGGCACACTCCTGGGAGGCATCGTACTGCCTCCACCTGGAATGGGGGGTCCTCCTTCCAACAGTGGGAAGCGTGAGGTGGAAAACGAAGCAGTCAATGTGAATCTGGAATCTTCCCCGAGAAGCCTGCTTTGGATGGGGCTTCAATGCTTTTGTTTTTCCTTTCTGTTTTTAACCTAGCATTTAAGAGAGGGTGAGAGAGCAGTGAGAACCTCTCAGGTTTAAAAAGAAAATCTGTGGAGTCAGGACCCCCTTCCAAAAGCAGCATGGAGAGCCTGGAGGGAGGGACTTCAAGTCTACAAGTTCCACAGGATTGATAGCTCACAGTGGAGAGCTGTGGAAAAACCCTGTTGATAAGGCTGTCTGGAGCCAGCCAGTGGAAGGCCTTGGATTTCAGGACAGAGGGTTTGGACTGTGTCCTGGAGGCAGAAGGAGCCAGAGAAGACTGGGAAAAAGGGTGGGCTCGATGAAAGAGGTCCTCAGTCACTCAAGAAAATCACTAGCACAGCTCATTCTTCTCCTCAGAAAACAATCACAGAGCTTAGCGTCAGATGTACCCCCTATTCAGCAAAAACACATATACCAGCCCCTGCAAGGCTCCCGTGGGGAGTTCACGAGTGCAAGCTCAAAGCATAATATGTGCTTAACTTGGCACGTCAGCCTGTCTATGGGTGATGTGTGTCCTCAGACGAGGACAGCCTGATAGGATTAAACACCCTCCATCAGTGTTCCAACTCTCTCACGGTGCCTTCTCTGCCATTCGGCCTCCCACTCTGCTGCTTCTAGGTATCTAGAGTAAAGGGCTCAGGAGACAGATGGTTCTCTCTGCTAGCAGTACCTGTGTGCCACGTGGACTCACAACAGACGGCTTCGCAGAACTCCAACTATCTTCTTAAGGCCTCTGGGTATCAAGGTGCTCCTAGGAGTCCGGCACATGGTGTTAGGCACTTGGCATGTAGAGTGTGGCAAGTGTTCAACATAGTAACAGTGTTTATGATGCATATGGTTTTAGCTGCCGGCTTGGTTCTTTTCCTTTTCGCTCCCATCCTTCTTCCCTAAGGCCATCCTTCTAGTCTCTCATTTCTCCCCCCTAGAACTGCGGGTTCTAGTCTTCACTTTGTCTTTCCCCCTTCTTTCTTTTTACTTTCTGTCTCCTTGTGACTTTCTTTTTCTCTACAGGAACCGGGAAAGACAAGGGTGTGTAGGCGGCCATGGCATCCCTCCAAGGAAAGTGTGAGGCTTTGGGCAAAATAGATCTCTCGTTTCTTCCAAACACAGGTCTACTCTGAACAACCTCCAGGCTTAAGACTCCAATCCAACTTCAGTGGTTTCAGCAGAACTCAATGAGAAAGGACCCCAGGGATGTTCTGCTCTTAGTCTTGTCTTGGAGGAAACCAACTTTCTCTGAGTCGACTTGTCTCTCAGAATGGGGCACCATGTTCCCTTCCTCAAGTCACCAGAACCTCAAAGAGGCTCCTCTGAGCGAAACGCCTGGCTACAGACTTCACTAAGGACCTGATTTATCCCCAAATGATCTATTGTTATGCATCAAACATGTTTTCCCTAAAAACCAGCTGGCAGGCAGCACCCAGATAAATTACTACAAGATGTAACCAGACAAGCTGTTCAAAAGGAAAACGGTTCTCTGTGTGTAGAGCTCAGGAGAGCACATCTATAAACATGTGTTGGGAAATCGCTTTGGTGTAAGTTGGCTGGAAGAAAGGGAAGGCTGCCCTAAACTACCAGCTTGCTGTGATATGGGACAGTTCTTTTGAGGTCATGGCCCATTGTCTCAGTGGCAAGAATGAAAAAACAAGTGTCTGAAGAGTCTTGAAGGGAGTAGGAATAACAGGCAATTTCCATAGACAGAAGCAACGCAAGTCAGACTCTTGTTTGTGGAAAGAAGGGGTTACAGTGATTTTACTTCGTTGCTCTTCTGCTATATTTCGAATGAGTAGTATCACACTGCAGTATAGTGCTACACTATTTGATATGGCAGAAAAGCTTCCAGATGTAGGATCATAGAGAAAGAATAACAAATCATTGCCCAACAACATGCCATATGCTATCTCTGTGATCTTGAGCATCTCTGAGATTCTGCCCTCATTTACAAGATCAGAAGGTTAAGTATGTATGACCTGTCTTGACAAGGTTGTAAGAGTCATGTCTTGTCTTGGAGAAGTCCATCCTTTGCTGTGGGAAGATATGGAATGATAAAGTGCTTGCCATGTGCCCATGGGGACCTGGATTAAATCTCTAGAACATGTATAACAAAGACCAGGCATGGTGGTACATGCTTGTAATCCCAGTACTAGGGATATGGAGACAGGCAGAAATCTGGAACACAATGACCAACAAGCCTAGCCTATTTAGCTAACTCAATGCCAGTGATCAACTCTGTCCAAAAAACATTACAGCTGGAACCTGAGGAATGACACCCAAAATTATTCTCTGACCTCCACTCTCAAGTGCACACATACACACCGACTCACATACAAATAAATGCACATGTGCAAGCACGCATACACAATAATTATATTTGAAACATGGTATAAAATAATTTCACTAAGAACAATACCCAGGCATGATGTGTTAAAATTAAATTAATGTCCTTAGTTCCTCCATCATTCAGACACATTCTAAGTACTCAGGAGCCACATAGGGCTTGTGGCTACTGTGTTCGGTCGTACAGATGCAGATTGCTTTCATTCTGCCCACAGTTCTACTGAACAATGCTGTTCTAGAACCTGCTAGATGCAATGAAAACATTTTATACATAATTGCCTCCTGCCTCTTAGTTTTCAAGTATATTTGCACATAGCAGTAAATTAAAGAATTATCTACCTAGCAAAGCAGAAATGTTCCTTGTTAGCCTATTGGACAAAACTCTTTATTTGGTAATCTAACCTGGCTATGTCTGCAAAGCATTGTGATTACTGGAAAATTAGAGTAGAAAAATAGATGGCTTCTCGTGTCCTTAGTGAAACATCACCAAGCACAAATGTGGGAGACCTTGACTGCAGCCACAGGTATCTCAGCATCCATGACAGTCAGAATGACAGTGAAATGAAGTCAATGAAGATGAGAGGTGAAATAAAGAAAAGCACCGAGAGAATTGCCACTAAACACTTTTTTCTTTAAGCATAACAAGTGGAATGTAAATGGACTTGTGCTAACATGGTTATAAACCTTCTAATGTTTCATTTAACTTCCTTGGAAAAAATCCCAGTGTAGATGAAATGCGCCCCAAGAAATGTAACTAAAGCTTAGAGGCATCCTCAAGAGCATAGCAGTTACTCCAAACCTACATTTCTCCTCCTCGTCTCGGTCTTCCTCTTCTTCCTCTTCTTTACTTTGAGGACCAGCTTGTCTTTCTGGGGTGGGTCTAACACATTGATGCTGCAGCTGATAAGAATGTGGCCTGTGGAGGAAGGACCTCTTGGTCTTCAGAACATATTTTCTTGTAAAGGATGGAAAGCAAGTTCCAGTAAGGTGGCCTTCAACGGTGAGAAGAAAAACAACAACAACAACAACAAAACAACAAAAAAAGATAGTCACTACCTTTATTAAATGTGTGCTTATCATATTATACTGGTCATATGACTTAATCAGCATATCCATTTAGCAGAAGAACGACAAAGATCCCCATTCTATACACGGAGGACTGGATGGTTGAGAAGTCACTAGAGGTCACAAACTGGTAAGCAATGGCGCCAAAACTTGACCTTGGGTGGTCCAGCAAGAATTCACATTTTCAATCCCTGGCTCGGAGGTCTGCTAGGCTAAGTAAACTCTCTGTGGTGTGGCTTTCTTGTGTACATTTCCAAAAATAATGGATTTTTAAATGATATTTAGGGTTTTCCTTTTACAGTGTTTTTGGTCATTGTAGGAAATAGTCCTAAGTATTACAGAAAGACACATTAAGAATAATGACAGGGCCTGGCAAATGGGTCTGTGGGGAAAGGCACTTGCCACCCAGGCTGACCTCAAGTCTATTCTCAGAATCTACATTGAAGAAGGAACCCAAATTCCTTGTCCCCTGACCTCCACATATGTGGCATGGCATTTGCATGTACACACACACACACACACACACACACACACACACACACACACTAAACAAATTATTAAAATCACACTAGAAACACTTCTTTTGTGATCAGGCATCTTATATGTTCTGTGATAAAAAGCATTTGTAAATAAATGAAAATATCAGAAGCAAATTCAGATGATGAGATCTGTTGCCTTTGAATTAGCATGCTATGTTTCAGAGCTGCAATGCTTTCTCTGTGGGCTCGGTCTCCAGCATTGGCTTTGATGGAGACGGTAGAACTTTTAAGAAGTTGGTCTTAGGCCATTGGCGGTGGGGGCCTGACCCTGAAAGGGCTATAATGCAAGCCCAGGCCCCTCCCTTCATTTCTTCCATGTCTCCTCTGCGTGACTGGTGTTCCATCTGCTCCTGTAATGGCTTGTTGCCTTTAGGCCCCAGTGCAATAAAACAAGCTACCATGGACTGAAAAAATCTTAAAACTGCGCACACAAATAAACCTTCCCTTTTTTATAAACTGCATGACTCGGGTACTTTGTTATAAGAAACAGGACAAATCCACTGTGTGAATAGACTTCAGGAACCTTCACTTATAAAGGCTAGGGAATCTGGGCAGGGTGCTGTCTGGAAGACCTGACAAAATAATCATGACTCATGGAAGTCCCAGAATCGCTACCCTACCAAAATTTAAGTAAAGAGGGCTGGAGAGAAGGCCCAGCAGCTAAGAGTGTTTACTAGTCTTTGGAAGGATGGGAGTTTTGTTCCCAGCACCCATGTCTGGCAGCTAACAACCAACCACCTGTCTCTCCAGCTCCAGGGGATCCCATGCCTCTTCTAAACTCCTATGACATCAGCACTTGTATGCAGGCAACCCCACACAGACACACCACACACACATCATTAAAAATCATTTTTAAAGTATCTTACTTTTTTAAGTACAAATATATTCCAGGCTTGGCCAGGAAGCCCCCGGTGAACTGTTCATACATTATGTGCCAGAGACAGCCTTCTCAGCTCCTTGTATACTCTGGTTCCAATTCACTTTCACGGAAACTCAAAGGTAGCAGGCTACTCTCCTTATTCCATAGAGGGAGAAAGCAAAGCACAGGTGGTCTGTTACAGTGTCCCAGGAGACTCGGCAGACACGGACACAAGGTTCTAAACTAATGGAGTCAGGCCCCAGGCACAGAGTTTTGTGGTACTTACACTGTACTGCACGCTGTGTCACTGTGTGTACAACCTCTTCCTCAGTGGTTTGCAGGACATTCTATGAGAAGCTGTTTCCTGGAGATATTTGTTGGTTCTTTTTAGAGAACCAATGTTGTTACAGATTTGAAATGTTAACCTAAGTTGTTACAGATTTGCATGTAACAATGACATCATACAACCTGAAGGTTGCATTTAGCAATATACATGTGTATACATATACATATATGCATTTGACAAATATTAATGGGGAAGAAAAAACCTCCATGAATTTGAAAGAGAGCAAGGAGGGGTGTGTGGGAGAGTTTGGAGGAAGGAAAGGAAGAAGAAAATGTTGAAATGACATAATCTTAAAATTTAAATATCTGTTTCAATTATAAAATAATGGAAAAAATTTGAATAAAATTCCTTTCTGGTCATATTCCAACTTGAGACCTTACAGTAAGTACAACACCTGGAAAGTTGTTAAAATATACATTTAGGATCTGGGAATCTTGCTCAGTGGTCAAACATTTGCCTACTATAGGCTAGATGCAAGGCTCATTCTATTCTTAAGTGTATGTAGATGTGTATTCTATCATCTCATGCTCTACCTTCAACATGACCAACTCAGATTCTGCATTTTTTTTTGGTTTTACGAGACAGGGTTTCTCTGTATTGTTTTGGAGGCTGTCGGTCCAGCCTGGCCTCGAACTCACAGAGATCCGCCTGCCTCTGCCTCCCGAGTGCTGGGATTAAAGGCGTGCTCCACCACCGCCTGGCCCAGATTCTGCATTTTAACAAGATGAACACCTGACACGTATATAATTCAATGTCTAATAAATATTTACTCTTTCATTACAATATGACCATCACGAACTCTCTCAATTCTGTAACAACTTGAGTACCATTGTCTAAGCAAGAATACCAGGTAAGCTTCTAGCAGCTTAAATGCTGGGGGAAAGCACATCATCTGAGCTATGGAGAGGCTCAGTGGTTTGCAGTATGGTTCCTTTTGAGAGCCTTAGTGCCCTGCTTTTCATACCAGTTAAGTCACAGTGGGACCCTGCCACTGGAGAGTTTGAAGATCTTGAGAAATGAACTGCAATATCAGAAATAGAGTCAATGTGCTTTTGTTGGCCCCAGCCTTTCTTATGAGATAATTCCTCTTGGAGAACCGTCTTCAGTTGAGAAACTCTTAACATGTATACTCTCAGGTTAAACTGTCAACCCCTTTCCCTGCAGGAGGTCTGAGTGAGTAGGTATCCCTTCTCCAGGGCCCATTCACTCCCTCTTTTGTGTTCCATTTGACTCGGTGTTCTGGGATAAGAATATTGTATCTACTGTATTCAACATGAACAAGATCAGCAACATGAATACTCATTCCTCACTGACCATGTGTCCAGTGCTGTATACATTCCACCTTTATTAAGAACAAGTTCAATATAACTATCTCCATTTTAAAGGTTAATTATCTGAGGTGTGAAGAAATAAATTGGTTGGGCTAAGCTCACATTGTTTGCAAGTTGTGCCAAATGCAGTCCTCAGCACATCGGGTGCACAGTGATTTTCAGAATAGATGTGTGAGCTACCCTTCTCTCCAGTTTCCCTACATCATCTCCAGTGAGATTTGAAAAAAACAAGACAAAAAACACTGACATTCTCTTTCCCTGCTCCTTACCCCTTCTCCATAATTCCAGGAGCACAGCCATGACATCTTTCAGATTCTCTGCCCTAAAACAAATGGTGTGAATGTCCTGATATTTCTATGCCAGCATAGTGTCAACTTCCACATTGATGACCTGCATTATAGCTTGCTTCACAGAGTCTGTTTAGAGGAAAACTAAATGAGAGGGATGCTTGCTGTCCCTGTAGTATTCCCAGAGTGTAAGCTCTCAGTATAGAGCTTTGAGCATTGTTTCTCAACCTGCAGCAAGAGGACATAGCAGGGCATGGAATTGTGACAAATAATTTTAAGTCTTTAGTCATGTCATGCAATTTTAGATATGCAAATATACATTATTCTCCTATCTTAGATATACATTGGGCTGTAGGACCAATGGTTAATTCATTTAAAGTTATTACCAAATCTACCTACCTTTAACTCAGTAATCAAAAGCAGCAGCATTGATGTATTCTGTGTTTCTAAATGTACACTGACTACATACAATGTATGCAGATTATCTCATTTCATGCTCCGTCAGTGCTTTGAAATTTGTACTTTTATTTATATTCCATACATGACAGTCATAAGGTATTAGAAGTATTGAAAATAATGTTTGCAACATGAAAGAGTTTGGAGACTGAACAGTTGAAGATTCTCAGGTCAGTTCCAGGACAATAGTAGAAAGAAAGAGCCATATGGACTCAATGTGTCAGGAAAGTGGGGCTGAGATGGGGGACAGTGCCAAAAGTCTGGGGATGGTTAATGATCCAAGGAAGCAGTGGTACGTGCTGAGAAGATTAGCAAGACCTGAACAATGTTGGAAGGTGGGGTGTTGATACAGCCTGTTGGGGCAAATGGATGATCATCTTGGGAGAGACTGGGAGAGTATACAAGAGGCCCCAGCTCCCAGGCCTGAAAGGAGTGGCTTCATTCTTACTCTCATATTCACTGAGTCCCAACTGATTTCTGGGTATGAAGTGAATGACCGGAATCTGCTTCTAAGCAAAAGATGTAGTCTATCTGAATCAGAATTGGGTGGCACAAATTTTTCAAATCTTAACATAGTCCATAATTTAAAACTGTGACCAGAGTGATGAAAGGGAGGGAGGGTACAAGGTATAACAATTATGAGCATACAACAGGGAAATCTGATCTCATTTGGGGTGTAGAAAAGTCTGTCGTGGAGAAAGACTTGCAGAGGGAGGGGGAAAAGGGAACATTCTAAGCAAAAAGAACAGCTTGTGCGAAATGACAGAGGTAAAAGAAAGATGACTCACTAGAGAAAATGAAAGAAATCCATTATGGCTTGAGCCCCAGATGGTGAGAAAATACTGCTGTCTTGGAAGAAGCAGAATTCTCAGAAAGTTTGTGTGGGTCAGACTTTCTACCTTGAAAAATAAGCAGAGACTGATCCCAGCCCATGGACACTTGAGTCCAAGTTAAGACCAGAAAAACTGAGACTATTTACCTAGGAACTGCATTTCTTCAATCTTCCTTCTCCAAGTATTCTCAGGGTCCCAAGGCAGCTCTCGCTCCACTGCTTGACAAAGACAAATATCTAGGGTAGGGCCAAGAATGGAAGGGTTCAGTCTTGGAACTGTCTCCTTTCCAAATCACTGGTGTTCTACTGGAATTACTAGGGTTCTGCTGAGCTTGTAAAAAGTGCTTTAAATACTGCTCTTCAAATTGAGGTCTTGGACCCACAGAGTCAGAGTCCACAGGTAGGGCTTGGGAATGTGTCCAGTGACTCTGTTTTCATTACTTTTTATGCTGCTATGACCAGAATGCCTGTCAGAAACAACTTAAAGAAAGGGGAACTTAATTTTGGCTCGTGGTTTCATGAACAGGGTTGTTTGGGGCCATGGCTTTGCAAGAGCATCATGGGAAAAGAGTATGGAGCAATAGAGGAAAGCTGTTCACTTAGTGAGTGACCAGGAAGCAGAGAGAGACAGGATGCCCTCAAGGATAATTTACTGGCTCCTAGTGGCCCACTTCTATGTCTCACTTCCTGAGGTATCTACAGTCTCCCCACACAGTGTCCCCATCTAAAGACCAAGAATTTGGGGGTGACTCTGTGGGGACTTCATAGTCAATCCCTCCCAAAGTCTTGCAGTTCCAGTTCCAGCAGTGCTGATTTAGAGAAAGGGTCTCCCCATGTGAGGGACCTGTAAAAGCTTTGCAATTCTAGATAAGGATTCTATCCCTGGGATTCTGGTTTCCTGGTTCAGTGTGTAAGCTGGATTTGGACCTTCTGAAAAACCTCTCCAGTGTTTCTGGGTTCAACCAAGCTGGAGAATCAAGACAGAAACTGGTTCACAAACATCACCCCACATGTAGTCTATAGCAGAGGGATCTGGGGGAGCTTATGAAGTAATCCCCAGACCTATAGCAGTCCTGTCATGCCAGAGTTTATAAGAATAAAGTCCAAGAACAGATGCTTAAAGAAAATTCTCCTGGTGCTTACAATCATAAATGAGAGTATCTGGTGATTATTTTTTTAATTTGCCTAGATTCCAGAAGCCCTGATAGGAATTGAGCTTCAGGGATTATTTATTTCTAAAATGTTCCAGGTGCAGCTGCTGACCTGAGGCCCACGCTGTGGGTAGTACTAGGAGTTCAGGGGATATAATGAAAGAATGTATAGCTATTCCCTAAGATCTACCAAG